ACACTTCTTACGTGCAATAAGCAAGAATCAGGTCAAAGTACAGCACTTTGGCTTGCGAAATGAACATTTCCATGATACACCAATCAGCAATAATGGGTGAGAATCCTCTGCTGCTCTCTCCTTCCCCGGCCTAGCCCCAAAAACATAAATCAGAAAGGCAAGTCCTTGCATGCTGCATGTTTCAGGTTTCAGAAACAATCACAAGTGGTGAGACTGCCAAACCAAGCTGGATTTTGATGCGAAAGGAGAAATCTGCAAGCTACTGCTTAACACTGAAGAAAAACAAAGCTGTCGAACAAGCCGCAGCGAGAGAAAGTTAGCTATCCACAGAAGTTGAAATTCTTATTACTTGTCCATGCTCCAGCAGTTCCCCTCTTTGAAAGGAAGTGAGCTCACTCCGACCGCGGCTTCAGCAAACATTTTACACTGATCAGGGGAAGAGGAAGTGCTTGTGTAGCCGGCGACCTCTGCAGCCTTTCCTCCAGCACATGGCTTGGCACATCTCCTCTAGCACATGGTCCATTATCTGAAATAAACATGCGTAGGAACTCCCAAGCCTGTTAGAGATTGTTGCTTTTCTTACGTGATGTATATGCATCACATGAGTTGGCTTGTGGTTTGGAGACAAGGGTGATTAAAAATAATCACCGGTCTGTCCAATTGTGGGAGTTACCTGAGCTGTATATTCTGCCTGAATGCAGGAAGTAATGGATAACCAAGACAATGCAAAAGAGCCTGCAAAAAACGTGCCTTGGAGCTCTTCACTGGCTTTTCAGTTAAATGGCTAATAGTGCTATAGGAAGAAGGAAAGCCTGAATGAAACGGAGCAGACAATATTTATGCATCCTGTTCCAGTGAGTGAACGCGTCCACTGAAGTCAGGGTTCATTCAGCTTCTCACTACATACCTTGAGAGGAAATGTGCAAGTTCAGCTTAAATCTCAAGTATTCTGAAACAGTGTTGAACGGCTGTCCTAGAGCCTACTGAAAAGCACCCCCTTTTCCAAGCAGAGTCTCAATCAAAGCATAGCCAGCATTTGCACATCTGCTATAACACAGTTCACACACACATAGACTCTTCTGTCATTCTTTACGGAATAAAAGCTCAATACATAAATTATCTATTATACACTACACATGCATAAAAATCAGACAATGAATTTAAGTGACCTGTTAAAGGCCACAAAACAAGGTGGTGCCTAAGCCAAGGTAATTTCAGTTCCTGCAGTGCAGGCCTCCAAGTAATCCACTATCAGAGCATGCAACATGTTACTGAACTAATTTTGCCTAGTGACAATAAGGAAAAAAGGAACAAGGTTTAAAAAAAATATAGCTTCTGAAACCATGGCAATTCAGTTTACATCTTCTGGTTTACTAATTGACCTTATAAAACAAAGATGCAGAAGGATACCAGCTGATCTTTCATTATTCACACCATTAATTTCATTGTAAACTAGGTATTGACCCTTCTCGCAATGGCCAAACATGGGCAGGCTTGTTAAGTACTAACAATTCTTTAAAATACAAATTTGAGTCCACACAGAAATATGTACCAGTTTAGATTAGCACAGAACCTCACCAGACACTTTTCTAGCAGTGGTTCTCACAGGGCTCTAAGGGCTCTTCCTCCTACAGGTCAAAGAATTATTATTATTTTTTTTTTTCCTGATAAAGACTGTGTATGTAACCTAACTACCCATGCCCTTTCAATGAAAAAACAAACAAGTATAAGACAAAGTGTTCAAGCCCACAGCCATTCTGGTGCAGAGATAAGCCAGAAGTAACAGCTGTAAAATAATGAATAACAATACTGACCTCCACAGTACAGCACTTAGTATTTCTTTATTGTAACTTTTTTTAAAAAAGTATATCAGTGAGATCATAATTGCTATTTAGAATAGGGAAGAGTGTACAGAGAAATAATTTCATTTTCATAAATACTAAAGAACCCAACCCTGAGGGGCAGTGCTGGAGAGAGATGCTATTTGGAAAACAGTTAAGTTACTACTAGAGGGTCATTAACACCAATTGGAAGACAATAAAAGGAAAACTAAACACTGTAAATCTAAACTGCAACTCAGCATGACTCCGAGACCAGGAATAGGCTCCTACATCACACCTTGTCTCTGTGGATCTGTTTATAACCCAAGCACAAGCCACTCTTGGGGACTGGACTATAACACGTATTTGGAGGCACATTCATGTCGATATCATGGACTTACAGCAAAACCAGGCAAAGCTAAGACTTTGTAGCACAGGTGAGGAACTTCACATCACCCACCAGCAAGGGTGTCACCCGAAGAGGATCCTCTAAGCACAAGCTGCAGAACATTAAGAGCACACGCCCAAAGACTGTCCCTTACCTCCTGCAATTGTGAATCAGTTCTATCTCAACAGACAGAGCTGAATTTAACCAAACTACACGTGGTTTTCACACAGCTTTTCAGAATCTTGAATCTTCTGAAAAGATATTTGGTGCTGCTCTGCCCTTTCTCACATTGTGTAAAACGGACAGGCTGCTTCTACCAACTCCTTACAACCACAGTGGCCTTTTCTTTTTTGGAACATCCAAGTCTGACTTTTTTTAAAAGGAATTTTGAACTCAAAGCAGGAAGAAATAAGCCATGCCTCTGTGTAAGCCTCACAGCATGCTGCCAACCAACATTTTCCCTTAAAGCTGTACAACAGCATTCAAAACAATCTACCAAACGGCCCCTCCTGGAGATAAAACACCTAGCTAAGAAAACAGCAGACACATTTCTCCCTAGGAGGAAGCAGGAATCTTGCTTTGCAAAGCTGCTGAGGGTGGCAGGTTTGGTTTTGTTTAACTAAAGCTCATTCCCTCTCTAGGCGGTGCACTTTGCAGAGGGAAAATAAACAGGCTGGAAAAAACCCAGCAGCTTGCAGGGGGGAGCCTGCAGGGAAGCAAGACGCAGTGTAAACAGGGAGGCAGAGCAGGGCTGGGGTCAGGAGGGCAGGGCTGGGCCTGGCGCTGGGAGCCCAGGTACAGCCCCTGCCCCGCAACCACGGCTCAGGCAGGAAAAGGGGGCCAGGAGCCGCCTTCCAAAAAGGAAATTTCACCCTGCCCAGGATTTCCAAACTGCAATAATTTTCCATGGGCCAATCAGGGAGGAGCGAGGCAAACGCACCAAATTAGGAAAGTAAATACTGGAAGGGGGAGAGGGAGGAGGAGAGCCCAGCTCATGCAACCACCTCCCAAAGGCAGCGATGGGCCAGGGGTGCAGGTCCCACGCTGAGCCCCCGCCAGCCCTGCCTTTGGGAAGGGGCAGAGGACACTGTGCCAGCCGCACCCACTGCTGGGAAGCCACCTAGATTGCAGAGCTGCCCTGAAAGCCGGATGGCCAGAACGCATAGCTCCACGCTCCCCAAAGACCATTCCCTTTCTCAGGCAGAAACACCCAAATCGCTTCCTAAAGCGCGGCCCGGAGGGTACGAGAGCTGCAAGACCCTGCCAGGGGCGAGGGGAAGGTGGAAGGGGCTGAGCAGGGATGTTTACAGACGCATCAGCCCCTCCTCTGTAAGAGGAACTCGGAAACGAAAGGGGTTTGGCAAGTGAAACCTCAGATGTCTTTTGAGGTTTTCTGAAGACTTGGCTGGATTAGCTTCTGCTCAAGACAAACGGATGCAATCATTAATCATCCTTAGTAAACACCCCGTTAGGGGCTGAGTACAATTCAACACTACTATTTCCACTTTCTCCTTATGCAAAAGAAACATTCTCGGGGAGTCAAATATCAGTTGCAGGCATATGCCAGAGTCAAAAGATACAGCCTCCGTTAGTAACACAAACCACACTGTGCTGCTTTGCGCAAGATGACTGAATGGAAACTAACTACCATATGTTGGCAAAGAAACCATCCCCCTCCCCTCCCAGCAACAAGCTTCATCTAAAAAGAGAAGGTTAAATATAAACTAAAAGCAGTGTCTGAACAGAGGACTAAAACCACAGCTACCTCCAGCCTCCTCTTTCTAGAATATCTGCACTGCACATCTGCACAGCTCTGCAGGACCAGGGGAAAAACCCAAACAAGCAAGCGCCTCCGATCTATGCAAAACCAAAAACTGGCTTCATTGTGACACTGAAGTCGTTTTCAGACATGTAAATTTGAATACTACTCACTGTATTAGTGCTAACTGTCAGAAGATGTTTGTGTGTTATACCGTTTTACAAATGTACAGACGAGAAAACAAACCAAAGGTTATTACTATTACCAGGTACACTCTTGCTATTCTGAGGTCTACATGTTTTAAAACTCTAATATATCATCATACACGATGTGTCTACTTTATAAAATTTATTACACTTCAAGTAACAGCTTTAATGTTAAAGGGGACAACACACAATTCTGTAACAGCAACTCCTCGCTGAGAAAGAAAGAAAATCTTCCAGACAGTAACTTGATGTTCAGGTTATTGCTACTGCACATTCATCCATCAGGTAGTTTACAAAACAGGATACTCACACAGATACACATTCAGATTGCTCCAGCCCCTCGGCACATGGTCAGTATCCTACCCCCATTTCCTTCTATTCCCAGGAAACCACATGCCAATGGCCACCCCTGTCCCTGACTTCAGCTAACATCACCCACCAATAACAGAATATTATTGAAATAAAATAGGCAGTCCTAACAGAAAATATTTGCCTGTTTTCTTTTGTCCATGCATATAGGTAGCTCCTGACAGATCCAATTCCACTGCCAAAGATAGACCAGTAACTCTATAGTGCAAAACTAACACTAAAGTTCCTCCCCCCCATTCCTTTGAGCTCTTAAACAAAACACTTGTGCCCTAGTTTCAGCCACCACACCACAGTTTTTAGCAGTCTTCAATCGTTTTGGACATCAGATATTTAGCCAGTTATTTTTAATAGGGCATTTCATGCAGTAAGTATACCACACAAAACAGGGCTGACAGACTGGTGCTCGAGAACACAGATGGAGTTTCCAGAAAGCACACTTTGGATAGCGAACATCTTACCTGATAGTGCCTGTGGGGGACGGGAGGGGACTGACCACGCTCCGGAGATCCGGCTCCGGGATGTGGATCTTCAGAGGCGATATTTGAGGGTAAAGTGGCCGAAGGGGAGGTGATGAGGCTTCCTCTTTTGCTTCCTCTTTATGGTATAAAGATGTGAACTGGATCTTTATAACCGTGCTAGGGAAGCGGAAAGTACATCTGTAAGGGAAAGAAAGGGAAAAGTAAGTTTCACACATGATACTAAACATATTTAAATGTTTTTGTATGCAATTGCCAAATCATTAATTCATTCAAAGCACAGAAGTCCATCATTCTCTACACCATCTTTCTGCGCAGAGTCCTGGGCAGAATTACTGATCATTCACAAATATCTGTGTATGTATCATAGTGTATCACGTATTATCTAGTGATTAGATGCAAGCTGAAGGTTTGGGTAAGCTAAGTGATTTCCCCAAGGCTTTGTATTCAATCAATGACTAAGCAAGATGCAGAACTACAACGACATACTCTTGAGTTCCTACTATATCAAGGACTAGGATTTACCTTTTATTAGCTCCTCATACATAACTCAGGAAGGTACAAGGAAAGTATTAAACCACCAGCAACATGGAACAAGAGAGTCATAAGGTCCAGACAGAGCAACAAACAGCCTCCAGGTAAGACCAGACAGCACTATTTAAAGACGGGCCTCTACATATTGTATAACTAATACCCATTTATATCTCTACACATGATGCTAAAGGATCATCTAGCAGGTTTCAGATTCAAATACATTCACTTAGAAGTGCCTCCCTTCAGACAGCATGGGTTATAACTAACAGGGTATGAACAGGGCCCCTGCAAGACTACAGGGTCTCATTTCTTCTCCAAATAATACTTCTTCCCAATTGTTATTTAGGGGAAAAAAATAATAATCTCGTATCTACAAGTGTAGGCTTCAGGAGATGCTGGGAAATTCTAAAGGAAATAGGCACTGACATTTTCCACATCTGAACAGAAAGCTTTCTAATTTATAGTGTCTACAATAGGCACAAGGCTGTAAGAGCGAGTGTTCTGCAATCCTTCTTATTGATTGCACGTTATTGTCTAATTAAAGCTCAATACAAGCTTTCCAGGGATCACTTCACCGATACTAAGGTTAAAGAAGCAGGAAATAAAAACCAGGTTTCACCGTGCGAAAGGCCAGCAGCACAGCACAGCAATGGCGCTGGCTTCCAGCATCTTGCCTATAGGAGGAAATGAAGGGACTCAGGCAGTGTAATTCCAGTACTGCAAGTGCTGGTATTGCCTCAACACAATTCTTTTAACCGGTGCATTATTGAATCCTGCCAGGTAACAGCACAAAGTGGCAGGCAAGTAAATGCAGATTTGTGACTGCCTTGTCTTAATGCTGCTATCGATAGAAATGCAGAGAAACAGCCTATTACAGCTCTAAAAACAGTCTCTTGCTCTTGGTTCTTCCACACAAGCTAGTTCTGCTGTAAGGTAATGTTCAGAAACCTGCTGTGAAGCGTGCAAAATTATCATTCAGGCATGGGAAGCTCATTCCCATCTCCCACCTCATCTCTTAAATGAGCTGGCTCAGCATTCAGCAGTTGGGACTCGCAATGGCTCTCCTACAGACAGCAGGAGTTTGCATTGCGTATAATTCACTTCAGAGGTCCTGCCACCTGCACTCATTAATGCATTAAATAAGAACATCATTGCTGGCGATGCAGCCTAATCGTGTTTATCTAACCCTTCCAAACACGGCTCCCTGCAGACGCAATACAAACGCACAATTCAAAACAGCAGTGTCCGTGCCTTCCAATGTCTGCCAGCAGCAGGCACACAGCTTACCCAGACGAACCTGAAACAATGC